CACTAAGGCATAGGAAGTCATAGGCTTGGTATTAGGGATAGAATCCGGATAGACGCGGTGGAGACTAGAGCTAGTTGGCTGACAGTAGGCCTGATTTACCATAGACGTGGCCCATGAAGCAAAGGAATGCCTATGAGAATTATTCCTGGGCTTTAGTCACTCAGGTGCAGAGTGTGGGAAATAATGCCACGAGTAGCACAGATGGGGTGGCAGAGGTCGAATGAAATACTTGAAACAGGGAGATACAAGACGAATACTACGGGCAAAAGGGAGACTCTGATAAGACCTAGGGAAAGAGGACAGCGTAACAATGTGGCAGACTCTGATCAAGAGTCCCAGCACAAGGGTTTAGGGGGACGAGGGTGTGAGAAAACCAGCATTGAGTGTGGAGAGTTCCCATGAAATCCGCTCAAATGAACACACCATACTGCAATTTAATAAGCAAGTAAAAAATTGTCATAATGAAGGCGTGATACGAGGTTATAGGATTTGTGATTAGCTCAGGGCAGAAGGAGAGATACTAGGATTGTTTAGCAAACAATTTATCAAAGGACCGACTTCATTTGTCTCTTTGACGAGTTTTAGTGTAGTGCTAAGGATGGCAAGACTCACTTACGATGCCGGTGAAACGTCTGGGAATGTACCACGTCCACAGTCCACGCATGCAATAGACTCCACACTAAATGCGTTCCCCTAAATCATTCTACTCATATGACCAAGTTGCGAAAATAAGGTCAAACAACTTCTATACAACGTAAGTAGACTGCGACCACACAAAATGCCACACCAGCTTGGTCTTCATAGCTTCGATTAAACTTTCATAAGGCTGAAAATAATAAGTATTCCATGTCAAGCTAAAGCATAGTTTAATAGTTTATAACACTATTTAATGCAAAGCAAATTCCAATGGCTAATCCATGTTAAGATAAGAAAATGAGGAAATCTAAATCATAGAAGCATAATTGCGATAGAAAGTTCTCAAATTAGGTGGGATCTATAATATAGAATGACTTTTATCAATACTGATTTTGCTCAATTTAATCTCTATTAGATATACCACTGCTCAAATTATAACGTAATAGCAAATTCATCTGTAGTGACCTACTCCTAGATTTTCTCGCTAAGATGGCTAGTTTTGTTACATGTGTAGCCATGGTTTAGTACTAGCCCAAATACCACATGAGAGTATGGATAACCCCCATTCTCCATTTCACATCGACAAATCAAAGCCTGGCCCCTTAGCGTGTCTATCTTTTTAACAATTCAGAAGATATCACGCAGAACTACGCAAGGGTATTTCAAGCAGCAAGCACGATGTCTAGGTCGATGACGTTTATTTCCTTCTATTTCGCCGCTCCGCGGAATTTGGAACCTACTATTATGCACCACCTTTAATTATTGATTTTCTTTCCTTAGCTCTATACTGTAATTTAGTTGATTTTAAACAGAAGACTTAGTGACACGATGGTTGCTTTTCTCTCTTCGTCCCGGGGCATTTAACCCTATATCACGTTGGAAATGATCATGCAGACAATGGACCCCGGACTAGGTGCGTTCCAATTAGTCTT